CGGGAGTGAGGAGTGGTATTTGGTATTCACTTTGTCCAGAGTTCGATGAATATATTGACCGAAGAAGGAACAGCTTCTACACCGCCCAGTACCAGAAGAAGTCTTGACAAACTTGCGTAGATATTTTGCTGCGATACTCCACCACCAAGTGCTAAGCCGTTATGCCAAAACACTGTAAAAAGTATCCTTTTTTGGCTTTTTTTAAAAGTAGCAAAAGGAGTTGGAACAGTGTGAATGTTCTGTTTCACAGTCTTTGTCGCGTTGAGAATAGGAGCAGCCTTTTTCTGTGTATCGAAACACAAGCAGGCTGCGATGTTTCCACTTTACTGAATGGCTTTGTCTCTAGCTATGACCTCCTCTAACTGGGTCAGGCGGTCCACTACTAGACAACCGCCTATCGCGTGCGGAGCGGTGATGCTGCTCCATACACCTTCGACTTGTATCTAGGCTCATGGGGTGGAGAGGTCTTGGCAGTACCTGTCCCAACTTCTGTAAAGTAACTGTTCATTACGAACAGTTTGACCTGTAGTCCATCACATGCACAAAGCAAGTACGGTCTTGTGGGGATGATGTTGTGAGTGCCTTCGAAATGGGAAGTGGACAGTGGATCGCTTGGATTACGAAAGCCCCCTCTCATCACAAGTTTGTCCTTCTGGCAGTCAGCGGACAACCGACAAACGTTTTGACACAACGTTATAGGTCCATTTTCACATGCCCATGCATGTCCTATGGTATGCATTAAGACGCGTCTTGGGATCCACGAGATTCTCCCCCTCCCCCCTCCTTCCCCCCACCATCTGATGGTTGAAATAGCCTTAAAAAATTTATTTTGTGGTTTATGCTGACATTGATGTGTCCACCATTGAGACCTTTATCACGGGATTAAATGCGTTTAAACGCAGTCGATTCTGGGTACTAAGCTGCGCCCATCGCTTACTACGCCTGCGTCAAAAGCTATACGATGAAGCTGATGAGAAAATTGTGGAACTTTGAAATCCAGTTAGAACCGACTTGTAAGGCGAACAAGTTCAAACTACATCTGTGTGGTTCAAAATATGCGAAAAGTAGCATGGAGCGCCATTGAAAGCACCGATAGACGGATCCGCTCACTTGGTGTTTAGTCCAAACGGTCGAACGTCTTTTGCACGTTCCTTTAATCTACACAAATTCAGTGCAACAAACTACACTGGAAAACCGCTCAAAATCGCTTGGTTACCTTGTGACAAGTCCTTTCGGTACTTGGGAAAGAGTATTTACTTCGACCCCCCCGAGGGCACTTGGCTACCACACATACGGTTCAAAGTCCGCGGCTGTTGGGTATGATTCACTGTTTTTTCTAAATCACACAAGTGAATCAACAGATGTTACTCATACGTTGTGTTTCTACTCTAGGAAACTTCGAACTTGGGTTTACAGTCGCCATCATCTTAGTCATTGTTCATCCAGGTTGGCCCACCACTTTTTTACTCTGGACTCATTAAGGCCTATGCGTGAGGTTTCAATGAGCACATTAGATAAAATAATGATTAGAAATTCAGAGAGGCGTTGCTTTTGTTTGGACTTCTGTTGAATAATTAACCCTTTACTAATGACGCTGATGTGGGCGGTACTTGTCTCTCCCCGACCTCCTATTGGTGAATTCCTTAACTAATGATCTTCGTCCAATTACCAACAGAGTGAATCTCAGCCACGCAAACTCGAGCCCAGGCGAAATGTGATCACTCAGGCCTGTGATGGGAAAATTGAAACTCGCAACATGTCCACCTCGATGGTGACGCTAAAGGTGCACTGCGAGACCTTCCATTTGACAGGTATCAACAAACTTCGATGTGCCATTGGGGATTCAAATGATGTTGCCGCGTCTAAACACATCTACATTCTTTGTCCAGGTTGGTAATTTATGACGCGTAAAATGCGAAAGAATTGATTCTTTCATCTTCCTACTGTTTTTAACTTTATTACTACAGTGCGAAAATAGTTTTACTAGGAATTGCGTGAATAGTAAACCCGAATCGAGGCAATGAGACAGAATATAGTGTCATCAAAGATTTCATGCCTTCAGATGCCCTTTTTTTAAAGTTTCTGGAAAAGCTCTTTTCTTCTGTGAGGCAGGACAATTTTCAACTAATTTTAGTGAGTTGACTCCCATACGGTGTCTCAAAAGGAAGTTATGAGCCTATCCACAGCGTCACACATATGTGACTCGTTGACTTCTGTTTGTTCAAGATCGTATCGCAAGCAAAATGGTTGAAGCTAAACAAGCAAATCTCTTGTAGTGTGTATTTATGATCTAGAAAGGATAAGCATGTTATTTTTTTTTTTCCTTTTTGGTTTTGAACACCAGTGGGTGGGCTACTGTCACATATGTGTGACGTTGATTTCGGGAAGTCAACTTGGTAGCCGAAATGTTAATCGGTAGATGTTTTCTAAGTAATGGGCTTTCAATCTCTCGGTGTCAAACTTACATCTCATGTACTCGAGATAGAATCCTCATGCTACCTTTGAAGATACTGTGAACCGCATCAATGTGGGAAGGAAGTTATCTTTATGGGCACTATGCGATGACGCCATGATGGCGACTCCCCTTTTCCTTTTGAGCGTCATCTTTGCCATCTTCCATAATCGCTCTTTTATTTCTGTTGTTCGCCAGTTAAATCGGATAGGGGTTCTTCAATAGTACCTCCTTCGGAAGATTTGCTCTCAGTTAAGGATTGGTTCGAGTAATGTTGGACGATGTTTTCGAGAGAGCCTGTCCTCTGCTCTACTCGATCAAGCTTGTCTTATTCACTGATCGATGCACGTCGAACTGACTGTTTAGGTGTGTGCCACAACTCAACACCGTTTTAACTCGTATGGGAGTTGCCTTTGGCATGCTCAATCACTCACAGCTGACAACCTCCTTGTAAAATATGGAAGTTGGGATCCTCACTTTGAATCACCTTTAAAGATAATAGTAGCTATATGAGGAGCTGAAAGGTCCTACATATGAACGGAGGTCCGTACCACAGACAGAAAAGCGGAATCCGCACTGGCTTAAGATCCAACAAGTAGTGAGCTACCCATTCAAATGGATTTTCACTTTACCATACTGCCTTTTGCTCCTGTTTCCGCTACCAAAACGGACTTTCGTCTAAACAATTGCTGAAGGACTTTTTACCATTGTAGCTGACTAAACTGTAGGAAAAACCGAGAGGAGAAAGTGCCAGACTTTAAATAGTTTGAAGCAGTCAAATCACTTACTGGTAGCGGTCATCTTCTTCTTGTTCTCCTCTGGTCAAAAAGACACTATTTAATGTTTCCCTGTGACTTGCACTTGTCATTTTTGCCGGCCGGATAACCAAGTGACAATTGTCCACAATTAAATTGTCGCCATTAATCTCGTGCTCTTCTCTATAGGAGGTGAGATACCAATGACTCTGACGAGTGGCGAAATGATCGGACTAGGCGTGGCCGCCATCGCGTTGTTCGCCCTCTTCGTCACGGGCTGTGTTCTTCTCCGAGGGCGGTCTAAAGAGAGTGCTATTATTTCAAGTGGTCACACTCGTGCAGAACTCGTATAATCACTTATTTCTTTCTCCTCTCCTGCCAAAGTTATACTCTTCAACATCCCCTTCAATCGTATTTTGCAATTCATGTGTACATTTAACATCCTACTTAAATGTTTTTAGTATGAGCAAAGTTGACCCTGGCTCTTTTATACCTCCCCTACCCCCTTTCCCCTCACGCTTCCGACCTCGTGTTTAATCTTTTTGCATGGTGTGAGTGGTGTAATAAACGCTTCTTTATTTCACAATGCATTCCGCTGCAGTTGACCGAGGCATTTCTACTCATATAATTTAAGTAGGTCGCAGCTCTATCATGGAGGCCTTTTCTACTGACGGTAATACATCCAGTGGTGCGCCAAGTGGTGCCCAGTAGCTAGTACCCAGGTTGTGGAAGAGTGCAGTCCACATCCCGATTGTCAAGATGTCATGGTAGAGGGTAGAATGATGGGCATAGGTAGGACATTTGAATGACGGCAGCATCTGCCATTGTCGACCTAGTGGTCTCGCCCTCAATCAACAGCCTCGAAGGTGACTTCTGTGGACAGTCATTTGGCGCGTAGAACGCTTGAGTCAAGACAAGAGTAGAAACGCATGGATTTTGGCACCATCTCCTGAAAACGACTCATCACGTGCGTTAGGAACAAACATGGCAAATTTGACGTGGATTTTCTACCCTATAGTGTATATTACCGGAGAAATGCGTCTGCGAAGGGAATGCTTCAATTGGCTCGCCAAGAATGGATCTGTTTCTTCAAGTTAACGCCCTAGCTTCCATGGCTCAGCACACCATGTAATGCTTCATTCCAGACGCCAGTCACGCGTTCATTTTCCACTGCCATCTAACCTCTCCCACCAATTTGAAACCTTCTGTTCCTGTAGACTTCCAGGCTGGACTTGTTAGCGATGATAAACAGTGTTTGAGGTGCTTCTGGTGCAGATCTCATTCCTTAAAGCAGCGGATTTAGGACTTGAACGTGTGTAATCTCACAATAGGTTCTCGTGGATGGGGGGGGGGGGGGGGTAAGAGAGGATGTGAATAAAATCCCTCTTTGACGTTCTCAGTTGAATCATCCACTCCGATAATCACCTTTTCCCGAGATGACAGGCGATGATAGGCTGGATGAAAAAAGTTATGTCGTTAGAATCTACGAAAAGAAATACGGCATCTGTGTTGTTCTCCAACTGCCTATTCATGTGACTGGACCTTGGGCAAATACGAGGTGGGAAAACTTCCTCTTCTCATCGCCTACTCACTATCCGCATTCCCGACTGTTGGGAAAGGACGCTCACAACCAGTTGTAAGGATTTGTAGCAAGTAAAAGGACCGTACCCATAAATATTTGAATTGCGAAGCACAAACAATCAGGTTTGGAGGCCGCTGTACACACACACACACACACACACACCCAAACAAAAAACAAAAAGAGCTCTCTGGGAACCAGATGATGCCTGTCTTGGAAATGTGGGATGGGTGACGCATGGACGGTTTGCCTACGGCCCATGCTTACAAAAGTCATTTCTTACTCCATGCCGGTGGATAAACAATGCATAAACGATTCGTTAAATCGTGAGAGAAGGGCAGGGCAATATTGACAGTCATTTGTCAATGGAATGGATGGGAACTTCGACTTTTTCCTCCTAATTGACAGTTTCGGCGTCACTCACGTTAAACTCTTTGATAAGTTGCTCTTGGCAAACCGATCTCCCGTTTTTTTTCTATTAATGCTGGTCCTCCGAACGGCGATGAAACCAACTTCGTCGGAAGCCTGCTTCATTGTCATGTGATCCCTAGCGGTACCTTACGCCACCGCCAAAGTAGGGGTGAGGAGAATAAGCCAACCAAGCTTAGCTCAGATCTGTCAGGGCTCCTTTCTTCCCCTATTTCTTACCCAATTCCTCAGCATTACAACACCTAGGGCTCTTGGAGGCACTCTATGTCCTTGGGAGATGTCTAGCGGTCATGTACGCACCCGCTCTTACTCATAGATGTCGGGAAATGAAGATGACCATATTACAACCTCCGCCTCTTGATTACTTGTGTTGGATTCTCGGCCCTATCCAGGGTCACACATATGGACACTGTGTCTCCTTCCATGGGCAAAGCATGTGGTGACATGGGAATTATGATGGCCACCTAATCGCCTTTCAGTGTCAGGTGACCAGAAGAAATTCGCACATTTAGTGGTGCACCTCGATAAAATGGGTTTGTCCGTTTGCGTGGATGTAAGTCAGTTCAATAGACTCATTATGCCTTGCCATGTGTTCTTGACCTAGTTATCCCCCTACCTTGACCTTTCAAGGTGGAGAATATTGAACTCAGCCTACATGCCTCACGAACCGGGTTTTATAACCGTTTATAAAGCTGTACAGGCTTCTCGCCAAATCTGTTGTCGAGCGCTTTGAGATGTTGCCTTTAGGACGACCATTTTATGGCCGAGTGCAGCAAAACACATGAATGAATCATTGACAATAATTTAGAAGTGCCATCCACTGCCTTTTCACTTCTCTCACGCTATAACGCTTCGTTCCTTGATTGTTAACGACCAACGTGCAGTAAGAAATGAACTTTTTAACTTATTTTTAAGCAAGGAGATACACAATTTGTTTTCTTTAAACTGTCTGTTCACTACTCACTATACATTGCCAGGAAACGCACCAACTGATTCGCGGAAAAATAACTAGGCCCGCATTTTGTGTGTACGACCTTCCCCTAGAAGTTATTTCCTTCCAGATGCCACTGCAAACAGTGAGAAAGTGTGCATGGAAACTTTTTTTGCAAACACTAATATATTTGAGGTAATCTTAAAGTTAAAATTGTTCATAGGAGAACCCAATTGCGTGCTTAGTGATGAGCGGACGGGAGATACCGCCACATTCACTGAGAATCTTCTCAACATTTTCTGGTATTCGTTCTAAATGGACACCATTGCTACTGCTGCATCGGCTAGTGTTCCCTACAATGCATAAGGTCTGTGACCTTTTGACCCTTACCCCAACGTTTTATTGTTCTTTGCTAGTCTGTTTGTTCTAAAATAAAGAAGTCAGTATTTTTGTTTACAAATGCTATTGACAAGAGTGTGGGGAAGAACTCTTCTTCTATTTACCTAATTTTCCATCATCCAATTCTTATTTTTTGACAATCTCCAATAACGAGAATAATCATACATCCCTAAAATAGTTGAAGAAGTTAATGCTAAATGCCCTAGGTGTCCATGCCCATTCTTTAATGATACAATACGTCTGCTGAACAGTAGTAGTGTAGAAAACATTCCTATGATTGCAAGAACAAAAGTTGGTCGGAATCTTCGACTCTAGGAGGCTTGTGAAATCATCACACTTCCTAGTCAAACTAGCATCTAAATTGGTATAAAAGCCATTCGAAGAGAGTACAGAAGTGCTGGCCGATAAAAACGTACGCACAGACTGCCGCACACCATCACGCAGGGTCCGCCCGCATAGACTGAAAAGTCCGCGTTTCACGGGCGTTTATTCGAACCTTTATCCATTTGTTGTATTTTTTACACGCAAATTTCCTTTAAAAAATTCTAGGATAAAACCCTTTTCAAATAAGATCTTATGTCAAAAATGGGAGGCGCTGCTTGTAAAAAAGAACATATTTATTTTCAACTAACCAATACCTTTGTTAAATTGACCTCGAAATAATTTGCGCGAGAATGAAAATGTGTGCATTGAATCGATTGTTTGCTATTAATTAATTAGAGCTTGTTAAGTCTTGGAAATAACATTTTGCTAGTTAATGACGAACAATGTGTAAATTTTGATTTTTACTTTGTTGGTGGCATTTTAAACGTGTTTTACTAGTTGGGCAAAATACGTAGTCCCTTCCCAGTAGGAAACCAGGCAGTTGTGAATTGAACTTTTGTAAGCCATTTTGCCACTAGGAGCTAAAACATGCTACCTAACCCTTAAAGTTTCCAAATTCTTAACTGTTGGTTGTCCACTTTACCATAGTGATGTAAACATAGCTTAAAGATTGAAGAAATATCCCTAAAGGACCATGAGAAATGCTTTGTGCACATTAAAATGTTCTGAGTTGGAAAACGTAAAGAAATACTTGAATTTTTTCAAACTCAATGTCATCTGTTAATGCATGTGGGTGAAAAAAATATGCTTTGTTTCTTTTCTTCCGCTACATTTCCCCCTCCCTCAGTTTTGATAGTTGCAAATGCCTCTCCTCATTATCACTCACTTTAGGCATCATTGTAATCGACTTCTAACAAGCTCACAACCTGGTTATTTTATTTGCACTAGTACGCTAATGACCATTCTACTAATAATCTTGAGCCTCCTAGCCTATCTTATATTCACCTACTCATCAATAAAATTACATCATTAAAGTCTCTTAATTTCGAACTGTGCCTTCTCTCAATGTACCTCTGAATTTGACGAGTAGCTCGCATGGCTTTGGAACAAAGGTAAACGCAGTTTGAAAGGCAAACGAACCACAATCGCACTTGGCTTGTCCAACTGATATTTTGTACTTTTAGAGATCGAAAAAAAATTTGCAAGGTGTTAAAGAAGGCATGACGACACATGCGGATAATCGCTCGCATCTCACACGTTACGACAATTGTCACACCTCCGCTCGAGCCATGCCAAAAAGTACGACACGGGCTTCGAGCCGGACACCTCGGCAAATACTGCCATCAAACTATGAATGCACGCTTTTGGTAAAATTGCATCTGGAAAGCAGATTGTCGGTAACTGTTTCAATCACACTAAAAGGGGTTTGTTATGCCAATACAACTTAAAATCGGCGCCAAATATAAAAGCTTTTCTCTATTAAGCAATAATGCATCCTAAATGGATTATTAAATAAGAGTTTAAATTCCACCAATGTCAAGTAAGTGTCATTCTATTTAAGATTGGCCAAATTTTAACAGAGAGATGACGTACCAATGCCGAAAAATGTTTTCAACTGGTTACAGAATCTTTAAGTTTATTTGATGTTTTCCCCTATTATTTGGAGACTGTTTGTTAGGTAGCAACTTCTAGCGGTTGGATTTTTGTAACCTGACATGAATGTAGCAAATCGCGTCTTTCGGAGGAGTTGGGATGCTTCCAGCATCAACAGAAGGCCATGTCGGCGAACGAAAATACAACATGCGGGGAACAAAGTGCCCGCATAGGTCATCGCACTCCTTAAAATGTGCTGCATCACTTCAATGAACAAACATAATTGATAGGTTTTTGCCAAATGCTACGATGTTTCTGCCAATTTTACGACCCTTTAAGGAGAACTCGGTGAAAAATAACTTTTCTTGTGGCAAATTTTTCTACCAATAGCCGGTTGCATTTGAAGTAGACTCGCTATAAAGTATCAACTCACCCTGAACAGCGCCAAGCTACTGGTGCTAATGAGAAGCACCTGGGTGGTTTCATTCCACCGACTACTTTGTAATGTCTGAGACGGAGGAGCGTCTTTGGGAACCTTGAGGCCAAGACATGGAATTGGAGGGAGAAGAATAAGGAGAGGGCGTGTTCTAAAGTGATATTCTCTCCGGCAACGTATACATTGACGTGAGTTTCAGCTCGATGCTACGAGATTCCGTTCACGAAACGCCAGTCAGACCCTTCATGTCTTCAGAGAGAACTTATTACCTGCCCGTCGATCAAAACAGCTTGACGCAAAATTTACTTACCAATGGATGCTCCTCCTTTTGTGTGATGATTTAATTGCTCAAAAGCGATGTAATTTAGATGTCATGTTAACTCAAAGACACTGCCATACCTTTCCAATTGGCCTAATTAATCAGCTTTCTTATGAACCCTCAAATAAATGAATCATGTTATTCCCTTTGATGCTAAACTTCTCGATCCTGCTTAAGGAAGTAGTATCCAGTAAATGTAGTCATTAAACATGTTCATTACTAGCGTCACAAATATGTGACATATGTTTTTTGTCTATCTAACAGCAACCGGTTGTACCAAATCAGGCCTCAATCCGATCGGTTACTTTTTAAGCAAAGAAAAAAAAGAGGCAAAGTCCAAATTTTTTTGATCTGCAGAGAAAAAAACATATTTCTATTTACTGAATAGCGCCTAAATTAGTCATTTCAGTTGTGTCAGGGGTCATGACATTTGTAGGTCAGCGGAATCTCTGAGAGCTTGGAAGCTTTTCGGCATTTCAGCACCTCATTTATTTCACTTTGCGGTCACTCAGGCCTGCCATATTTTAGACCAATTTTTTGCCGCTTTTTCCTTCATATCCACGGCGTAAAATCAGTGACAAGGCTTTGTTGGTTTACCCAACGAAATAACCAGTCTATTTGAGGCTGTCAACCTGTCCGGGGTCTTCTAGACTGAAATACGTTTCATTAATCTCTCCCGCAAACGACGACTGAAGACCTAGGGTAGAATAAACACTAAATGACAGATAAAAACGAACGCCAAACAGGTTAAAGTTGGTTTACACAACGGCGATTGGCTTTTTTCGCCTGTTTCCTGATGAGGACACTCCCCGTAAATACCTAGTTGATTAAAATCTGTCTTTTACTAAGGCTTTTTTTCTTTTTTTTGTTCAACTCCCCCTCTTTCACCCCTTTAAACACTGGGTAAAAGGTAAAATTCTGCAGTGAACTCGTTGCCTACCCCCAACCTTGCCCCCAATCACTGGCTAATCGGTCGAATAATGGGTCGCGGAAAAAAATGTGGATTTCCAGAGCAACTCCTACTTTATTCCACTCAAAACCCTATCACATTTAGAAGCCAAGAGAGCTAGAGTAATGTTGACAATAATAAAGTTGTATACACTGTCAATGTTGTTGTTGCTGTTGGAAGTAGTCGTGAATTCGCAACACTTGTCGTTGTTAACGTCATCTTTGTCGTTGTCGTCATCGTTGTTGTTGTTGTTGTTGCTGTTCGGAGGACAAATTGATCAGTTGTGGAGGTATTCACCACTTCCGTAACTGGAGTGGTAACACATTGTTTCGCTAGTTTTTGTAAAAAATTCGTGATACTTATTGACGTGTTCACAGCTATCTCCTCCTCGGTACTATTGGTTGGAGGTACTGTGATGCATTGAATTTCCCCCTCGAAGGTGGGGTTTTGCTCCCTGAGCCATGCAAATGTATCATACTCCTCACAGTCACACTTTAATAAGACCAGGTGAAGAAATTGGAATGTTTGTGGCCTCTGTAAAGCCTTAAAAGGATTGCCCAATAGTGTTACTACTCCATTGTACTGAAGGGTACTCCTCACTTCTCCCACGTGAAGACTGCGAAGGTGAGAAAATCGTCGCAATGCTTCGCCGTCCACTTGTAGAAGTGGAGCATGATTGAATTTCAAGTCGGTGGTGTTCAGTGTCACGTTCGGTAAAAGGGAACTAAAATTGGCGCTGGTAGAGGAATGGGTGAAAATATTTACAAGTTGTACGCCTTCTGAGTTGTTCTGATTGGATGGAGTGCAGGAAATACACTTCCAAACTGACGGACAAGTTGTTGAACCTCTTGGTGGTTGTACCAGAGTTATGTGTGTTAAATTTGTCTCACCAAGTTCCACACACTGGTAGGGTTCATACCCGAAGATATGACCATACTCACCTTGGGAGAAGGTCAACTCCCTTACAGAAGATAAGTTAAGCGAATCCGAAGTAATGACACGATTTTCAGAGAACTCCGTGTTGAATGTTACAAGGAGGGTTTGTAGATAGGGCAAATTGGATGCACTGGAGATAGGAAATCCCGAAGCACTTTCTTGATAGTCCAGATATTTCAGCTCCGGCGTTATAAGTATCAACTTGTTTCTGGTTTCATTCACTCCTGAGATGTAGGAGGACATTTTTGAACAACGGAAAGAAAGATGTTGCAAGTGAGGAGCTACAATAGTGCCCTGAAATAATCCACAGCAGTTTTCAGTGACAACCAACTTTTCCAGCTGTGGTATCTCGGTTCTTGTAGAATTGTTCCAGATAAACTCCTCGGTGCTTGTGGAGGCAGCCGCAGTGAGTGTAAAGCTTAAATGTGTTATATTGCTCAAATTAGGCAAAGTAGGGAATGGACATACAGTTCCAGTGTAGAGTAGTTGTTGAAGACTTGTAAATTCGTTGAACACCTCCAATCCCACTTCGGAATAGCAGTGTGTATTCGTTTGGTAAACAATTAGATGCCTTATAAGGCTCTGATCTGTCCCTGGTGCCAGAAGACTGGTAATATCCTCAAAACACTGGACATAACAGATGGCAGTGTGGGTATCGGTGATCTGGCATATTTCATCTCCAAGTGAAGGAGTTTCCACAGGTGACGCCTTATTTGGAGGCAGGAGGGCCAAAGTAAAGGTGGACACAAAACTTACTAGACACCAATTAAAATACATTTTCTTGCCTTCACGAGTAGCGGGACTATGGAGCACTTGCTTTTACCTACATACACAAGCACAATGATTTGGAGGAACTCCAAACAGTTGACAATTAGGCCAATTTCTTGTCGCTGATTGGTTCGTCCAGTGGGGCCAATCACTGGCTCGGATGTTATGGCCTAACGAATAGGACCAATTCCACCTGGTTGAAAACTCCCAGCTTACTTGGTATCTGGTTGGTGCGTTTGGATTAGCTAAACAAATTTCATTTCCTTAAAATTGTTTAATTTTTAGGAAATTTGTAATGAGTCACTGAACTGTTAACACCTTCACCGTTAGTGGCGGGGACTTGGGAAACTCTTACCACTACCACAGGCATTATGTGTCAGGATATTTTGGAAAAAAAAGCAACTGAGAAATATCATTTTTCTGACCAAGAATAGGTTATCTCAAGTTTGTTGCCTTTAAATTAACTATGAGGATAACGAAACGATAAGAAAATCTAGACGTCACATATGTGTGTCAGTTCTGGCTTACTGAGCTCTCCGTAAAAATTTGCCCCCTTTTTTGGAAAAAACCATAAAAAGGCTGTCTACAAAATCGCCGCCAATCCCGAAACCACTAATTCCAATTTTTATGTGGTCGTTATTCGTGTCGGCCATGCATCGACCTTAATAGTAGACACCGCAGGGGTGTCAGTGTTATGGACACCCAAGCAGCTGGGTTGTCCCTTCAAAGAGTCTTCAAGCGGAATTGTTAAGCTGTTCATGTTGGAAGACCTAGAGGGGCATGAGTCAAAGACAATAATAGGATTATCCAATTCTGAGCCGTGCGTGCTGTACACGCGATGGAATTGGAATAAAAGTATCCGTTACGGAACATCCCGCGGCGAAACTACTACGGAAAAATGGAGTTGGGAAGGAGAGATGGAAAGAAAGCTCCTTTCCCAACTTTAAACTAGTAAGGTTCACTGTGGTTTGATTATAATGCAAAAAAATCTTTACATCAGGTGCCCCACACCCCCCTTGGAAATCTTCTTTAAATGACGGTAAATAATTTTGCACACATCGGACCCCCTACAAATTTGGTTGTGAGCACATTTTCTCATAGGAGGAATCCCTGTGATTAAAAAAAATGTAAGGAATTACAGATTAGACTAGGATTTAGTGTGGCACAATTAAAAACTGTACTGCAAATCCTTCTCCCTCTCTCAGAAGAGCATCTGGGGCTAGTCAACCGGAGAACCCCCGCATGCCTCATGTTGTTAAGTCATTTTTTTTGCGTTAAGACCGCGTAGAACCCACTACAGTTGTGACTGGAAAACAGGAGGGGAGGGAGGTGAAGGAGGCGAAAGGGCGACCCTGCTCCTTCCTCATCTAGCCCATTCCTCTGGTACGGTCTCTTCGATGTCACGTGTCTACCATCATGTCGCGGGGACAAAATAACAAGCCAAATAAACAGAAGGCAGTTTGAAAAAACAGTTTCACGCCTTGAGAGGTTGTTCAAGTGAATCAGGTAATTTGTGTGACGTTTAAAATTTATTATCACTTATTTTTTAGTTGTCTGAGGCCGAGGACAACCAACGAGCTTCTGACTGCCAAAAGCCCGGTTGGAAGGGAGGCAAAGCAGTCCAGAGATGAATAATAGATTTTGAGCACAACAAAACCAACTTTGTTTTCACTGGCGGAAAATTCGAAGTTTATATTTCTTATTTTAAATTTATGCCTTGCTCCACCTTTCTGTGGTACGAGTGTCAACTTGAATGCAGTACTTCACGGCGGTCGCGTGAGATAGAGTGTATTTTTTCCCTTTTTTTCTTCCACAAAATCTCTCATCTCCCTTGGATTTTATGTGATGACTTAATGCGGAAAAAACACGCCACCTTCTAATGGTTTGTACATGTCAGGTGTTGGGGCAATCAAGGGATTTCGGACAAAAAACGTAAAGATTACCTATTTTTGCTCCCAAATGACGAGACGCAAAACAAATTGCAAAATAGACTTATAAAACGTCTTGCCCTCAAAAACAAACATCCCTGGGCCTGTCTAACCCCGTTTCTACCCTTCCCCCTCGCCTTCCCACCTGTCTACTGTCCGTCGCCCATGTGATTGTTTAAGGCTAATACCGTGGAAAGGAAAAGTGTCGGAAAGGGAATGAGGAAGCCGAGGATGGTGTTGAGAAGGTACCTCTTTTTCCTCATCCCATCCCAACTACAGTGTGATAGGAAGCAAATTTCCCTACTCTTTGAAGCGTGGGATCTTATCCTTCCTCATAGAAAAAGGGAACTTTTTCCCCACTTATTCACCAGTTTATGTTCCAGTGGTTTCTAAGGCAAAAGGAGGACAACAAATTGCTTACAAAACTTCCCGTTGGCTTGAGTAGAGTTACCTACTAAACGAGTCTGTCTGTAGGCGAACCAGCACAACGTGTTGGTTGTTTGGTTGGTTGGTTGAGATACATCCTTGATTGGTTTTAGGTGGTGCTTTCTACTGCAGCCTCTTTCACCTTCTCCAAATGCTAAGCGGAGAACTCGATTGGAAGCTTACAGCGCATTATCCGCAAGGAAGACAGGCTTAACTCACCCCTATTTGGAAGGTGGTGGGAGAGGACATAATTAAAGTCTTCCATACCTCGAATAAATCATCTGAAAGTACAAATTTGGGCGATTGCATTAAGTAAGTAAAACTTTTATCAATGCAAAACAAATACCTGTAAAAGGAATACATGTAAGACCAGAAGTAGGGAAATGGACGAAATCCTACACAGTTTGGAGGATCAGGTTTCTCCACATTAAATTGTTATGCAGTAAGTGCAAATGCACCAAGGTTACTTGGAGGGTTGGTTCATGCCACGGCGAGGCTCTCAACGGCGTTAATATTTTGGCCGCATGAAGGTTCCAAAGACGGCCTTGCATGCATTTACCAGTGACAATGGACGCGAAATTGTCAAACTGTGCTTCAATGTGGCGAGATTTTTAAGCCTGTTTTGGAGCCCTCAGCGCAAAACTCGAAGGTCAATGTTTCGCTATCGAGGCCCTGCTTTTATCCTCTGTCTAGAGGGTTGTAAGAGCTGATAGCCTTAAAGGGAACGATACTTCTATGCAATAAATCTTACCTAAAGAAAGAAGATTTCTCCATGTTTAACTAATCATGTGAAGGTTGGAAATAGACGAAGAGAGTCGTGGCATTTAAAGTGATAAGGTATTAATGCGCCCTCTGGGTGGATAAAATGTGAATGGCCACGTGTTTCCCCTGTACTGCTCTCCCTAAATACTTCACCTAGGGATCGTAGAAGAGGGTAATTATTTATTCACCAAAGCTTCTTTTCCGGATACTAACCTATTTGCCCTCTCGTTGGGTCCGCCTCGTCTACCGGTATCACCTAGGGAGGGACTTTAATAGGCCCCGTAACTATGGTAAGGTCAAGGCCGATTTATGGGGCTAGAATGCAACTAATTTGGGATTTGACACGCCTACAGTCGGTGAGAGACGAAAACACCGTGTTCTGGTTGTAAACACTTTGTCGAAAGTCATTTTGTGGTTAGTCTACAACTATCCAACCTTCTTTTTTACCCTTCTGCTTCGGCATTCAGCTGGCGAGAGCCGATTCGTTGTTCACTGGGCTTGGATTAGTCCTTACCAACACAACACAGATGGTTTGGAAGACCACAGACGTGGACCGAATGCTACAGCACAAGCAAAATAAACTTAAATAACTGTGAAAATTCTGGAGAAAAAAATAACTCCCCCGATAAGGTGGTAGCAATTTAATCGTTCATTAAAAACCTGGCACTTGATACGGCACTTAAAGGTAGAAAATATTGCTATATTTTAATGATTTAAGAGAAGAGGATAAAGGCGCTTTTAGGTGCTTTTTATTTGCGATTTTCTAGTAAGTACTTTTCTTTTTTACATAATTTTGTTGGGACTTTTTCCCACCCCGCATGGGTCTACATGGGGGCGGACGCTATCTAGCATTTGGCAAGGCATTAAGGCTGGGATGAAATAAGGCTGTTTTAGCTAATTTTCCTTCTATCTCAGTGCCCACCTGTCTGCGGCATATCTACTGTGTGATTACATAATTTTGTCATTTGACCATTAAGTGAAAAGGTTAGGAAGATGAACCTGGGGGATGAGGATTCGATAGGACCTCCATCTACCTGTCTATCTCTTCATTTTCCAGCTTTGACTAGAAGTCTTGCCTATCTCGGCTGCTTTGAAATTAAATCTGCTTGCAGACATTGCCATCAGCGAAGGAATCTTTCTTGATGTAGACATGAATCTACAACTTACAACACAAACCCAAAGCAAGACATTGACATTTTGTATTTGTGGGCTAGCGGGTGGTTGGCGATATAAGGCTAACCAATGAACAGTAAGCCGCGTCACCAAGGCGACGCCTGAATCGACCAAGGGGAAAGAACCGATGATGTTGTAAGAATCACTTAAAGAACTTGACCAAATTGTTCATTAAGGTGAAGGGCTCAAGAGCAGATTTACCACGTAATATCTGCCCGAATGTAAAATGAAGCCTAAATGTCAGTGGAATTTGATTCCTTTAGCACGCGCTTATGAAAAAGCTTCAATGTTCCTATCTAGTTGACTCCACTCACTAGCTGAATTATTCAGCTGTCTAATTAGTGCGTCACTTTTGGTAAGTGGGCGAAATAGTTCCGCCTCGCTGTGGACTCACCCGAGCATTTACGAGACATCAGCGCGGCCTTCTAAGTTTTAACTTCTCTGCAGGCGTAAGAGGTCAGTCTCCTCCAAAATAAGACTAGTTGTTATTCAGATAGGGAAGCCCTCCGAGGCTGCAGGCATGTTCTTCCTTCTTCTCCCTAAGTAGAACCACCAGATGAGAAGAATGAGGAGATGGGATTGTTTAACAACTTCTAAATCACAACACCGACCCTTGCTTCACTTCAATGATGTCTCCCACTCTTACCACAGGCAGTCCTCTGTCCCGCCCGTGGAAGAGAATATGAGCGCAGTGGATGTGCTTGAGAGAGAGAACGCTCCAACCTGCCAGTGCCAGCACGTGCTGTGCGTCTAGCCCGTAGTCCTGACTACCACACCCTCTGCATTTGGGACAGGGCGCTCAAGATTGCAGCATTTCCTCAAATTGGGACCTTTTGTAAATCAGATTTTAGAATTGGTCATCATTCTCCCGTTTCCAGTCATCCCGCAGTAACACTTGTCTAGAGGCAACATAGACAGGGAAAAATCATGCCCGGAGTGTTGGACGAGGCCCACTTTCCCACCCATGCTTTGATTGATGCCTGATAGCCAAAAACCCAGGAATTTAATCGAAAGTGGAGGCTGCTTCATCTGCCTAAGCTAATAGATTCGCCATATTTTTTGTACACTTACATCTTTCTCCTGCTATTTTGCTCGGATTCGGTAACCTCTGTGGCGCTTGAGCCGGAATTGGAGTGGCAAGATTTCACCGACTTCCGTCATCGTATTCGATGAATGCAGCAATTTGTCGTCGCTCCCTCCAAACCTCCAAAGTGGGTTATTGTCAAGCCAACTGGAGAGTGAGCTACAGCAGTACAGATACTTCTGTTATTTGTCGTTACGGAAAGAGGCCTCCACATCCAACATCCTCCCTTTGCACGACTTTACCGCTTAGTAATCGGTCAGAGGGATGCGATTTCACTTGTTGATAACATCATTTGAGCTTCTTAAGTATTCTCAAGCCAGTCAGGCCTGGATGTGCATTGTTTTGCAGAGAAAGCGGCTTTAGTGACTGAAATTTCTGTGCAACCTCTGATTGAAATCAAACAACCCGCGCTAAAGAGGGATTAAGGCCTTGAGCAGTCAAAGCAACCACTTATTTTGCATAATTTAACTAAATCCCTTTAAAATAAAACACTACGGTCACTACTTTTTCTCTTAGAGGTGAAAATATCTTGCTGAAGGAACTTTAAAACGTGTTCAAGGCGTAATTCCTTTCCGTTTGTCTCAGATTTTCCTGTAATTCGATATTCCTGTGGTGGTGGTGGTGGTGGTGGTGGTGGTGGTGGTGGTGGTGGT